CATTCTTTGCAACATCCCTAGCACAGGATCTGCTCTCGAATCAGGAAAGGGAAACAGCCACACAACCTGGGAAAATTTGCCCCGGTCAAAAGACAACCAAAGCCCGTACAACGCTCGTATCGTGTGATTGACATAATTTCCCCTTGTCGAAGGGAAGAGCTTCGGATGGGTTTCCCCGGAGAAGGCACAAGTTGGCAGCAAGAGGAAGATTAAAGGCAACGGCAACCGCCTGGAGAGGGCCGCGGGAATGGAGCCCATTGAAGAGGAGATAGGAGCCAGCCCATGCACAGACGCAGGTGGGTGGACTGGAAAGCCTTTCACTACTAAACAACATGCATATCAAGACATTAGAAAGATGTCGTTTGACTGCTTTGTCTCGTTTCCGATTCTTTTGCCATCCTTACTATCCTTACCAAATATTACCAATTATACAGTAACAGTAATTTCACTACTCTTTGGCTAAGTGCGCTGGTGCCTTTGTTCACCAGAGCCGTCGGGCGGCGAAAGCGCAGGCGGCAGCCTGGAGAGATGTGACGTGTCAGGCGACGCATCTGCTGATGATGGTGGATGGGGGTGACATAACGTCAGCATGGAGCACATTAGCACGTGCGCCTTAGGTGTCACCGAAATTCTTGTCAGGTTTTCTTGGGCTGGATTTCTAGCGATCTCGAAAGCCGAACATTGGGCAGATCTTCGATGCTGTGCATTGAGTGATGGCATGTGCATGATGTCAATGCGCAGTGACATAAAGCCAATGGCGCCACGACTGCGTAATCATCACCCTTCAGGCATTCGTCATCAAAAATTCGGACAGTGAATGAGGTGCATCAGCTGTTTTTGTAGCCCGGCTGCAAACTCAAGAGATCCTCGCATCCAAGCAATTTCGTTCGCAGAGGTTGACACCGCCATTGCTCTGGACACCTTCAAGAGTTGCATGTCGCACGAGAGGAGAGTGAGGATGCCCTTTTAATGTTTGGCGCCGACCCACGTTTCTTGGAATTATGTCATTGCATCGTGATGGCGAAGGTTCCTTGAAATGTACTGAGTTGCTGATGCACAGCATCCAAGCCATTTTGGGGTTTGGCGATCGGTGGATGAATAAAGATTTGTTGCAAATACACGCAAGGACGCAGGCAGAGGCTCCCTATTTTGTTTCAGGAAAGGATTGTAAACAATCGCATATGCGATAGAGAAATGATTGCAAATATAATGCTTTGATCATAGTACTGGTATGCATCTCTGAATTGATGTTGGGCATAAATCAGAGTGCAAAATCATACCACATGCTGTTTGGGACATTTCGTCCCATTCCTATCGCTACTTTGTGCCCCACTTAGCTTGTCGTGACATGTTGATAAGCACCCACATGTGATACAGAGCCCCTGCCACAGCAACGTGGATATATTCATACAAGCCAGAAACCCACCTGTTGTTGAACAATATTGGACGCTGCGAAAAGTTCTATTGCGTAATTTTTTCCAACATCATAGTGGTTACTAATGAGCCAACTGATAGGACAAAGCAGTCAACCGGTTACGGACTACTGTGGGATGGTCTGAGTATGCCACTACGCCAGTACAGTGCCAGAGGAAGTGTGCTTCTGCGTTCTGGTACATAGGTTCAATATCACTGTCAATGGGTCTTGTCATTGGACAAGTCGTTGGACTTTGGGATGAGTCCTTGGGGAAAGTCCCACGAGTTGTTACCTTTATGAGCTGCAGCCATCAGTAACTCCAATTTAAGCACCCTCAGCCAGTGATGGTTCTAAGGCTTTTGAGCTTGAACTGTTGACATTCCAATACCCACTACAGAAAGGATGGCATGAACAAATTGTCAAATGGCGGAGAGCTTGGACCTGGCCACGTGCCATGGCCGCCGATGTTCACTTTGAACAGCGGATGCTGCCTGAGTCATCCCGTTGGCAGGTTTTGGCAAGCGCAAGGTGGTCTGGAAACAAGTGCTGGCAGAGGCGTTTGCGCGTGTGCATTGACCCTGAGCACAGCAAACCTCAAATCTTCCGCACAAGAAGGACACTTAAAAGCCTTGTGGATGCCACCCATGTCAGATCCACCTGATCCATCTGAACATCCCCCCAATCCACACCTAGACCACTTCCACACCACAGCAACGCATTGCGCATTTATCATTGGCCCTCATATCATGGAAAAGAGTCTCACAGGCACTTGCTGAGGACGGGGTGTTCTTCCCATGGCATTTTTGCCTTTCTCTCTGTAGCAAATCTTACAAGGCCGAACAGCCATGCTAGCTGCACACACATGGTTCATTAAAAAACCTGGCGTGTAAGCTGCCTGTTGCCGGCGTGTTTGCATGCCAGTAGCCGAGACACACATAGGCCAGCTGGTTGGGCCGATTTGCCCAGGAGTGCAGGGCACTGCAGTTACACAATTATCGGAGTAGCCATCTCCGACATGGGAATCCGATGTCAGGGAAGAAGACGAACTTCGTGATCGGAGTCCAACGTCGGGGGTGGCATCGAGCCCGTATCCGACTTCGAGCTTCGAGTCTGGGAGGGATGGGTTGGTGCGTCAGTAGCAGTCCCCAGCGTCGGAGACCGCTACATTTCGTATTGGCTGGGCTGCTAATTAGCAGCATTATAATGCTGGAGATCATCATCGTGTGGTGCCTTTGCAGTTTTGGAGTGTGTGGCTGTGTTAAGTGATGCGCTGCGCCGGGTGATGTAGGAGTGGGTGCCGCTGCAGAGTGGTTTCTGCTTCGCTTTTGGTGCCGAAGGGTTGGGACGCGTTCTCGTTGTGGCAATGTGGAAGGCCATAGGAGTATGCTGTGGTGTGTTAAGTGGTGACAGCCCCTCCTCACGTCTTGCCCAGATCGAACTTGGCGGCGACCGCGTAGACATGCGCCCACAACAAAAAGTTAGACAGCCTGCTGCTTGCACTAGAGTCGCGCGCACATACACGTGCAGCCCCACCTGAGCTGCCTTGCAACATAGCATGAGCGCATACTCAGTCAATGCCCCTGCAGTGCAGCACACACGATCAGTTGATTATCTCGCCATGAAACTCAACTTAAGGCCATGGATTGACTGGTCCTCCTCTGCTGCCCAAAGCGACGATCCACCGCCAGGTGAAGGCCATGGTGCAACTGGTGCAGCCCCCCATCCGCACAGCATGCACCATGCACAGCCCCCCCATCTGCACAGCACCGATGTTGCTGCAGGTTGAAGAGGGTGGGGTAGGAAAGGCGGCACTGCCAAGTTTGAATATGGCCCTCAATTTGCAAACGGCGCATGATGGCACATCCAGATCTGGGCGTCGAGCGCCCTGGCGTTCTGGAAGGCAACACGCCTAAGTCGTTCGTGCAAGCAAGGACTGTGCGCTTGGAGCAACGTTGGGGCACTTGGCCTTGGGGATAGGTGCACACTGCCCCCATTGATTGCGATGCTCGTTCAATGTTGAAAGACAACTATCAGCCAGGGCCCTCCGTCATCAGCATCGAACAATTCGAGTACCCGGCATCTCCATTATCGAGGCGACAAACCCCACCCCCTTCTGCCCCATCCCATAGCATGCACAGGCGCCGCTGCCTGTGCCACAAGGGACCCGGCCGCCGCGAACCCAAAACCCTTAAAACGAATGCAACTAGCCAAGTCGTTTTTCTAGTCAAAACCCACCTTCGGGGGCCATGCCCCTCCACCAATCAGACCAACCTGTTGATTCGCTGCGACAGCGCCCCAATCGATTCGCACCCCGGTTCTGTAACAAGGCCGCCGGCCTCTGCAATATTCTGGGCTGGTGGATCCAACGGCGTAGAGTTTTGCGTTCGTTGCCAGGCATGCTCTCCTAATCGAGCAAGATGCATTACAACTCCCGGTTGGGAACACACCTGCAGGCGTTGCTCTGCAGGCCTGGACACGCTGTTCTGGTGAGGCAGCCGCCCATCTCTGTCGCCACATATGCTAAATGGCGCCGACCGGCAAAATCCCTTTGATGCCGCATCCCAAGATCCCGTGCTTAACGGCGTCAAGGCATGGCGACAGCCTCCAACGATCAAAGAGGGGGTGCACCTGCAGCTGCAAGGGGTTCTAAGGCCTTGCCACGGCGTCGGGAGGCGCCCAACAAACAACGGCAATGGTGCACAGAACCAAGAGCCGCTGGATGATTTTTTGGGGGGACGGTCGGAGTTGGGGCCCGAGTACGGGAATCCGGCATAGGAGTGCGTTGGAGACGCATCGGCGGAGACAGATGTCGGAGTCCGACGTCGGATGCCGTCGGTCATGCATCGGTGCTCCAACGTCGGACTCCGAAAACTCGGTTGCCACAGTGGAGGCCATTGGGCTGTTGCTTTGCTATTCATGCCCTGAAACCCACTGCACTCAGCGTTGCCTTCAACAAGTCCTGTTGCCAGCCAGCGATGTGACTTCGCGAATCACATGCCGTGACGCAAGAGTGGCGCCCACACCCGTCACGCTCCACAAGGGCTGAGTCACCAAGATGAAGTGACCGCCAGGAGCGCCGGCCCCGTGCCGTGCCGCCCGCCGCACGGCGGCCCGTGACTCATCACCCCCCGCGCCCAAAAACTCGTCATCCCCAAACTACGCCCCTAAACTACGCGTCCCCCCGCCCCCAGATTCCCCGCCCCTTCAGGCGGCCTGAAAAGCACCCAGAAGGCCAGCACGGCGACGAGGGCCTCTCTAAGGCCCGCTTCCCACACGCCAGCCCACGCAACAAAGCCGCCCGGCCTCAAACGGGCCGACCAACTCCCTGCGGCCGCCTCTCCCTCCGCCCCCCCAGCCACAAATCCCCCCCCTGGAAGATCCCGGGCCCTTCGATTTTGTAAACGGGTCTCCGGGGTACCTCAATTCCCTCCAACGCCGGGGTGCGCGGGTCGCGGTTCGGGTTGGCCGCGTCGGCCCATCGCCGCGGGGGGCCCGGCAGGTCTGACGCGAACGCGATTGGCGCCGGCGGCTGCCGTGACGGGAGCGGGCAGGAGGCGGAAGGCAATTTGCTGAAGGGAAGGCGGGGATGACGACGCCCGAGCCACCGCCATGGTGGACGCCGGAGATGCCCGCCCTGTGCCAGCGGCGGGCCCCGCTGCCAGGTGCGCACGACCGCGCCCCGCCCGGGGCCCCGTGATCTCGACCGACGCCTGCAGAATTCAGGGGCGATTTGGAGCCCAAATCCGCGCCGCAGAATGCGTTCATTCCGAAACAGCCGGTCATGTCCGCCGTTCATGCCCGTCCCTCCTGGGCGCGGGGATCGTCGGTCCCGCGCGAGCTGGCGTGACGCGGGGGCGATGTGTTGCGCGCGCAGATGTGGCGCGCTGGCAGTCCACCTACGTCAGGTACAAGGGCCAGAGCGAGGGGCAGGTCTGCCAGCAGGGCTGGGAGCAGTCCACCAGCGTGCACATGCAGGAGCAGCTGGCCATGGCCGCCAACGGCGGCTTCAACGCCGGGCGCACCACCCTCCACTCGCCCCTCGCGCCGCTGGCCATCAACATGCGCATCGTCACGGCGCCCGCGGAGTTCGCTGTGCCCGTGAAACAGGACAGGTGGGCCGAGCGACCGCGGTTCCGTCCTCTCCACCTCAGTTGCTGGACGCCTCCACAGCCGCACGCTTCGAGAATCCCCGCCCCTACTGTGCCTTTGAAAAGGGCGAGTTGGGTCCTCTACACAGCGAATTCCCCGCGGCTCAACGGAGTGCTGCCCCCCCTCCTTTCTCCCCCTCCCCTTCCCCCCACCCCACCCTCCACCCACCCACCCACGGACACAAAATATGGCCTTGAGCCTAATTCCATCGTTGTGTGCCCCCTGCCCCCCCAGGCGCCTGACGCCCGACTTCAAGGTGCGCGTGGAGGTGAAGTACAGGGGGCAGGTGTCCTTCCCGCTCACGGTGCGCGCCTACATCCTGGCACAACAAGAGAAAGATAACCTGCCGGAGTGGACCCCCGAGGGCGTGACGGACCACGACGGCCAGGTGTGTCCGGCTGCCCCTGTGCCCGGCTGCGCTGTGGAATTTGTCCAACAATTGATGCCGTAGCGGATTAGGCTCCATTCTGCTTCAGGGGGCACGATTTGCCCTGCTCGCAGCCCGCTGGCTTGCAGCCTGTGCACTGGGAAAGACGCCAATGCATCCCGGACACTGTGCAAGTGCTGTGTTGCTGGTCAAGAAGTAACCCCACGCATTGGATGTGAGCACCAGGGAGTGGCACGTCTCCATCCCGGGCCAAGAATTGTCCCAAAAACTCCACACGTTGAGAGCCGATTCCCTGAATGGAGCCAGTCTTGTCCACCTGTCCGCACATGTGATAAGAATTTTTGGGTTTGGGGGAAGACGAAGCATAGGAAGCTGGCCCAATCGTGGTGGTGCTGCTTGCCTTGTGTTGCTGTTTGTGCAAGGGAAAGGACTTTGCTTGCCTGGCAGCCAACCATCCCAATGCACAGATTTGGCTGGAGATAAACTGGCCTAGCATACCACCTATGGACAAACTCATGGCCCCATCCCTTGCATAAGGCTGCCTTTGCCTGATGTGCTTGCTGTCCGGTTTCACAGAGCGAAAGAAAAGGACATCCTACAGAGCTGAAAGGGACGACATATATCACCCATCATTTTGAGGCCAACATGTCTGGGGTGAGTGTATCGCTTCGAGAGTCACAAACTAGTTCTGTGCCCTATGCCACTGATCCCATGTTGATGACCCATTTGAATCTCCAGCACGACTTCATTTTGGTTGAATCTTGTGACGCATGTATTGACAGATGCCTACCTGCCCCAGAGTTCAATATCCTTGCTTCTTTCAACACTTTGCTTATCCTGGGCTCGCAGCATTGGTGTCAGCCATGTAGTAAAGGGCAGCACTATTACTTCCTCAGTGGTGATGTGGTACTATACATATTGTTCTGTTGGATACATTGTTGAGCCAATGATGCAAAGTCTGACTTGAGTGTAGTTTGCATACAGTGGAATGTGGGGAGCTTCAGTTTAGGTCAGTGCAGTTTGATGATGTTGAAGGAGCCATGTCCATGTGTCGCAATAGACATGTGATCGGCTCATGCATCTAGTGTGCCCTGACTTGCCTGGACCTTGCCTATGGAGCCACATGGATGCTTACTCAGGGCCACTCTCATTATTGGCATGTTATTCACCATGGCGCAGCAGAAAACAGCAGGGTAGTCTGAGATACAATTTAAATTGGAGACCCGTATCTGGAAGGAATTGAAATAGAAACAAGAAAGCAAAGTAAATGAGAAAATTGTTGCACAGGGTCTGTCGTCAAGCTTCACGGGCAGCACCAGCACACCTGTCCTCCAGGGCAACATGGGCACTGTGCACCACGTTGTGCCCTCCACTGTGATTCAGACCCCGTACGTGAACGCCCAGGGGGACATGCTACAGCACGAGGGCATGCAGATGCGCTACCTCCAGCACCAAAACCCGCAAATGATGCCCCATCAGGCACTGATCGGCCAGCAGATGGGCGGGGGGCAGGAAGTGATCCACCTGGACTCGTCGAACCCCCTGTCACTGACGTCGGGGACGACCGCAAGCGCAGTGCCCTCGCTGGGCGACTTCAGCGATTCATCCAACTGGGCCGCGATGCTTCAGGACTTCTTTCCGGATGGCGATGGTGAGGATCTGTGCTTGTGTTACACCCTTCTTGTTTTCTTGCTGTTTGTGTTAATCATTGTTGTGCATTTTCGCCTGCTAGGCTGCGACAGAATCTTGAAGTTTTGTTCAGGAGAGGATATGCCCATTTGCTTGCAGATGTTCTACCTTCTTTGGTTACAATTCCCTCTTGTGCATTTTGTCACACACTGGCACTTTCCCCACTGAGAGCAGTGCTCCCAGATCTGGTGTCTGCTCCCAGTCAATGCCCTACGCTCCATGTTTGGCAGACTCCTGTCAGTTGTCCTGATGGAGTATTGTTAGAAGCGTAGTCGTCATTTGGTTGCAACGATGGGTGTACAGTTTGTGGGCTCTTTCAATCAATCCGGCAGTGCTGCAAGTTGCCTCACTGCTGTGATGTATCTGCACCAAGCGCAGCATGCCACCAGTTCTTTGCACATGTTCAGTGGTGGTCTGTGACCTGAATAACATGCACTGTGCCCTGCAATGCCCATGATATTGTGGATTCTGTGACATGGAGCTGGTGCTTCAGCTCGGCTTCATTTTGCTTGCCCGCTTGTGGCTGAGAACCCCTCATGTTGACATCCAGTGTGTGTGGATTCGGCAGTGGCGGCTGTCTCAGCAGAGTTCATGCACAATATGGAGGCGAACAGTGTGAGCATCAAGCCGGAACACATATCACAACCAGACCAAAAGATCATAATCAGCGAGGCGGTGCTCGAGGAGGATGGTGTGCTCACCCACGATTTCGAATTCTTAAACTTGGAGTTCATGAAGCCCACGCGCATGAGCAAGGTGTATGCTTGCTTTGCATGCACCGTTCTGGAGCGTGACCTGCTGTATTGCATCTTCCACATCCCCACTGTGGGCATTTGCCGGGCGGAGCAGCGGATAAAGGCCTGTGAGAGGCTGGTGAGCGGGCATGTTTGTTCTTCTACTGTTCTTGTTCCACAAGTTGTAATGGCTGAAATGCCTGCCAAAACTGCAGCGATGTTTTCCCTTCTTTTCCTTGTGCGTTTGTGTGGTTGGAAATGTGGTTAATTGCCTTTTTGAGACAGCCCTCAGAAACAAACTGATGACAGACTCGAAAGGCACCAATCAGCCTGTGCCAGTGCACACAGCGGGCTGTCTGATGCTGTGCATTCTGCAGTGTTTAGCAGATCTGTTGTTTGCGCAGACCTTATATGTGTACATAAGTGCTGACCTTATGCACCCGTATAGAGTATAGTGAAAGTTTACAAGAATGACAGATGGCATTCTGTTTATGCGAGTTTGTCTGATGGTGTTGCTATCTGCTGCAGAGCATACCAAGGAGGGTTGTGGAGCAAAGCAATGGTGCCAACCAGAGTGAACCAAGTGAAGCGACATCTGGGTACTCGCAGCAGATGCAGAGCAGGAAACGGATTGCGGTGAGCAGTTGCTTTGCAGCACACGGGGTTTTGCCGTGTTCACCTACCATCCACTATGTCACACTTGGCTGGCTAACACGCAGAGAATGTGCACATCTTGTTGCGGGCCTTATGCCACTGCTATCTATTGCTGGCGAGTGAGTGGCTCCAGCTGTCAGTCCTGGCAGTTGCGTTTAGAACATGACTATAATGTGGCAAGATTATATCCTCAGCTTGGTGAGGATTGGAAGGATTTGGAAGCGGGCCGGAACTGTGGTCTGAAAGGTGGAGGAGAGATGGGTGTGTTTTGTTTGGTTCAGAACATATTGAAGACATGTTTCTTGGGGATATCAAGGTGTACAATTCCCAAACCTTGTCATTTAGACAGATAGAAATCATGTTCTGCAATGGGCAGGCACTGCTGCAGGGCTGCGTTTTTGACTGTCGGTGCGCTTCTCATGTGGTCTTTTGTCAATGCAGGATGCCTCGGAACGCAGCGAGTCTGCACGGCCAGGTGCCCCCGGTGGCGGCTGGAACAATGTGATGGACACGCTGCCGGCCTCGTCTCCCAGCAACACGATTGGGGGGGACACGATGCCCCACTCTCGCAACGCCCTCCGGGAATGGATCTTGGAGGAGTACGAGAGCCGAGGCTGGAGGCGCAGGTTGACCGAGCTGGACCTCCAGACGCTCGAGTCCCAGGCGGGTTTCCCGGTCGGGGGTGGCGACGTCGATGTTTCGCCGATGCAGTGGGAGGAGTTCACATCGCAGTTCAGGGACGTGCTCAACCTTTTGACGAAGATCTCGTCAGTTTGGAACCACGAGGACCCGTGCGTGATATCAGGCCTGGACATGGACCGGGGCAGGACTGCACAGGCATTGGCCAGGGAGCCCCCAGGCACTTTCATCTGCAGGCTGAGCTGGTCGGAGCCTGGCAGCCTCGTGCTGACATGCAAGGTCGCACCAGGGACGCCTGCGGCAGATGGCGAGGGGCTGCTGCATGTCATCATTGGGGTGAGTCGTGTTTCGCTGGGCGGGTCAATGGCACCCTGGGGACTCGGTGCTGTCAGAAGCAGAAAATTACCGAAAACAGACGCAGAAGTTGTCCACTTTGTGGTGTGGGTTTGGGCATTTGGTTTTGCAGACTGCTGTGGCGATAAACTATTACAACCTTCTGGTATTTTGCTGTGGGCCAGATTGAGTGCAAGGTCTTGCTAATCATGGTACCTATGTGAATAGCCCAAGTGGACAAGTGCGCAGTGGGCGTTCCTGTGCAGCAGAGACTGCAAAATACAGGAGAAATGTACCCATTGTCAATGCTCAGGAAACCAACTTGAGCCCCAGCCTTGGCAAGTTGCACCATGGACTATTTTTTCATTTTAGTTGCCATGAGTTGCAATTGATGTTCCACTCGATTGGCCAAGTTTGCCATAATGGCAAAAAGTCCTTGAGCCATGGTGTAGATGCGGCTACCTTGGCTGTGCAATGTGCACTCGTTGCGGACTCGTTCTCAGATGGATATCACAGGCAGCACTTGAACTGGCCCTTTGTGCATTCTGTTTGGAGCAGTGCAATATTCAGCAAGCAAATTGAACATTCCTAAGCAAGTCTGTGGATGTAAGCCTTCCTGTTGCTGGCTTGTACGTGCTCGTGCTTTGCCAGTCCCAGGGAAATGTGGCCACTGGATTAGATGAAGACCACAGCAAAGTCTTTCATGAGATTGTCTCCCGTCAGTTGCATTGTTTTATTTGTTGTCAGAGCTTCAGTGTTCTCATTCAGGTGCAGTGAGTTTAAATGCACTCTTTCAGGGTCCGATCGTCGACTATTCCATCGCCACCCTGCATTGCGGGTTACGTATCCTTTTCTGGTGGCGTTGCATTTTCTCTTCATGTGATTAGTTATGCCAAGGCGTGCACCTAGTACTATTGGACTTGTCTATTACGTTGACTCGAACGTCACACTGTGGTGACTCTTCCTTTTCTGCTGTGGTTACGTTTTCTCTTCATGTGATCAGTGATGCCAGAACGTGCACCTAGTACTATTGGACCTGTCTATTACGTCGACTCGAATTCGCACTGTGGTGACTTTACCAGTTATGACGGCACTCTAGCTAAGGCAGGGCTTGTTTTGATTGGCGCTTAAAGAAAAGAAAAATTGGTTGTTTTGATTGGCTGTTTCCTCTTTCCACGCTGCATCATGTGCACCATCATGCGACCTGACCCTTTGGAGTTGGCTGCAGATCAAAGATCTGAACGACCGCCGAGTAGACACCTGGATTCGTGACTACCCTGCCGCCAGTCACGTCCTGGATGTCTACACACACAAACGGGTTGACAAGCGTAAGGTGTTTGCGTCCAACTACACCCGGCTGCGGCTGATGGATGAGCTCGAGGGCTCGCAGGGTTGACGGCAGCTGGGTGTCGGCGGGTGGCTTCCATGCTCAAAGGTGGCTGGTTGTCTTGGCGTTGAGAGTGGCGTGAGGCCTCAGCCCTGGGCGCTCAGCAGTGTGGGGAGTGTCTTTTTCGGGGTTAAGGGGCATGAACTCGGTAATGTACAGTGAGATTCTTATGGCGGGGCTGCATAATTAGGCTGCATTGTTCTGTAATCCTAGCAGCGTTGTGAGGAGTCTTCGAAGGCAGACGAATGGCAATAACAAGTAAGGTAGAGTACGTAGCATGGATGCACTACTTCGGGGAGTGACGTTTGCACGATGTCGTGCATGAACAACTTGGCTGTTGGTGGCACCGCCTGTGTTGTGGGTTGGCTGGGCAGAGCCGCCACTCTGGGCAGGTTTTGAATTGCCGTTGACACCGTTTTGAGCATCAGGAGCATTTTTATGTGGTCTCATGCGTTTCTGCAAAACGTGGTCGTGATCTTCGACCAATGCCATTGTCTTTGTTTCTGCAGCCTCGTGTTGGAGTTTCGTTGACTGTTCGGGATATTAACCGTAACATGAAACTACCGGGGCGACCGCAGTTTCAGTAAGACGACATGCTTAGTGTAGACTTGTCACCCTGCCTTTGGCAACTCTACTCAACTCCCCTTTCCCAGCGCTGCTGCACTGGTGCGTCATTGCGCGGGGATCGGCCTTGACTTTTGCGCTGGAGCAGCCTTCTGCACAGGACGTGACAACAAACATCGGTTGCATGGCCAATTATTCTTTTCACCAAACGGGAAAACATGATGCGGCAAGGTAAAACGTGTTTGGTTGCAAAGAAAGCCATGGTGTCAGACGGTGGGCGCCCTTTTCCCGAAAGGCCCTTCTTGTTGGACTGCCGTGGGACTCTCGATTGTGCGGTTGGCAGAGATGGCCGGAAGAAATGAGGCGGCAGCTGGAAGGGTGGGACGATCGGCACAAGCTGCCTTTGTGGATTGCATGGACCTTGCTAAGGACACGGTCTTCGCCTCGAAGGGTTGTAGCACTGCCCATTGTCGCTTGTTTGACTCGGGGCTTTCTTTGCCGTGTCCCCTCCCTAAGATTAGACAAAAGACAGGTAGCAACTCTTGAAAGCCCTTTGAGACTTCTCTCGAGAGTGATCGCCGAACGGCTCTCCGTTTGCACGACGCAGAATGCTTCCTCTCTTCTTGGCGTCCAGTGACCTTTCCCCTTTCTTTTCCAGCTGACGCGTACCTCAGACCCCAGACCAAAACTACTGAAAAATCAGAATGCGAACTGCGGAATGCCAAATGAAAAAGGCAAAATGCCGGGATTCCAACAAACGCACCCGAGGTGCATCATTTTGGGGAAAAGAATGAATCCAATTCATTCTCTCAACTTCTGCGCAAGCCGCACGCACCACTCGCCGCTCCTGACCTAATCCGGGCCGCCCTAGTTTCCACCCTACGCAGCGCTGGCCCACCCCCTAACGATGGCTTTTTGACCTGCTGTGCCGTTCCGATGACCGTATAGGACAACAGCACCGACTGAGAAAGGGACCCGACCACCAGGTTGATTTTGGTGGTCGTGTCAACATTAAGGGTGCACCACGTTGTGGTGTTCACATTTGACATGCTATTGTAACTCATTGAGTGTTATTAACAGCTGAACACATAAAGAGATGATAAGGCACCAGGAATTGCATTAGGGACGTTGATGAACGTACTGGATATAAGGGATAGAACTTCTGTTGTCCCTTTGCCTCGGCTGTAAACCGTTGCCGTGGACTCTAGCTTACGATCCCCGTTCAGGGGGCTCCACGTGGCGGTAACATTTCCCTGGGGTACGAATCGATTGTAATCGGCAAAGTATCGAACGAAGGTGCCGGTCCTGAGTGGACACGGCTGCCCATACTTGGGCGAGTGGATACAACTTCCCCCGGCTGGGGATACTATCCAACGGCTACAGCCCCTTCGAGGCTGCTCTCTCATCACTGGATACTATCCGTGCGTCCTTGCCCACAGCACAACGGAAAACTGGTGGACCCAAAACTAGATTATATTGTAGGATACAACATGGTGCAAATATGTCGGTGCAGCGTTCCGGATCGTATTGCCATGCCCCGGCGGTGAGATTATTCCATTGTCCTGCCCGGCTCATCTAGTCCCTGTCAGTCAGTTCCCTATCCCGTCGGTCACAGGCGAAAATAATCAACGTCAGAATCCAGGAAAATCAGCATTCCATCGTCCTTGATATCCGCCGTACTGTCCACAAGACAAGAATATTCACAGCCCCACGTTGTCTCACATCCAACTATCAAGGTGGCGGCACTCTCTGCACTCGCCACTATCCCGCCGAAGGCTCTTTCCGTCACTCGTGTCCCTCTCCCCGCTAGCTAGTGGCTATAGCCGAGCGGCTAAAGTTGGTCCCGAAGGGGTCTCCATGTGGGATCCAGCCAGGCTCGCAAGGGCCATCATTCTTGGAGGAGATGGATGAGGCTCTCGGAATACGCCCTCAGAAAGGTCCCCGGGGTATCAGTTGGAGGGCTTCTCGTCCACGAAGACATCACTCTCCCCCTCCTTTCCTGGCAAGTGCCCTGGCCATCAGGTCATGGGACGTGGTGCATCATGGCGCTGGCTACACATCCAGGCAGCGAGCGTCGGTAGCTGCCATCGGACTCAGCTGTATACGCCAGGCTGTAGCCATCAATGGAATCAGCCGTCTATGCCAAGCGGTATCATGTCACCTACACGCAGCCACAGGGATAGGTAGAAATCTAGGACAGCACCCACCAGCACTAAAGGGCCATCATCATCAGGGTCATGTAAAGGACGGCGGTCCTTTCTGGCCGTCATCCCCGGAGATAGCGCAGTCAAATCACCCCTGAACGGGCAGCTGAGCCACGTCGACAGCCTCAGCACCACGTCAGTTGAGGGTGCACTCAACTAACAAGCTTTGCCCCTCGCGCATACTGGCTCTTCACAAAGAACTGCTTGCCGCAACGATATCAACGACCAAAAATAGCAGCGACGGCAAGGGAAGTTTTCGGCGAGCGGCAAACATCCAGCTGAACGTCAAGCGTGCAAGCACGCTTGCAGAACCTCTCGCAACTGCCCCCCAGAGCTCCAGGACCGGTCGCAGCCACTCCCCAAGGTCAGCGAGGTCAGGGCATAGGTCAGCTCCACGGGTCGGGGCAGCCTTGTCCACAACGCAGGGATCAAACACACGAAAAATACTTCTTTCCCTCGACGAGGCTGTGCAACGACGAAGTTGGTCACTTTTGGCCTGCAGCACGCCCGCGCTGGCAGTTCTGGTCCTGAATGGCAAGGAAAGCGGCCCGGAAAAGGCACAGACAGGCCGCAACCTTCGAAAAGGTCGAGCGCTACTGCGCTCAGGCCATGGAGACACAGATACGTACTTGACCCGTGACCCGTCACCCTATATCAAGGTAGACATCAGCAGACAATACGTTAGATGCAAAGACGTTATGTTCGAGTGCCATGATGTTACAAACAGCTGACAAGGACCGACAGGAGGATGTCTACACTTTGGAACAGCGATATGACTCACCGATCAGCCATATGCGCTCAATGAGAGTCACTAAAAACACAGCCGCTATCACAGCCCTGTCAATCGCCAGGAGTTATGAGCGTTCCGCTCCTACACTTTTAACAACTTAGCTCATAGAAGCTCACAGGACAAGGAAAATCATCATAGCATGTAAATTCAAGCCCACCAGGACACTTGGGGTGTTGTCGAGCGCTGCCGAAGCGAGGCGCAACCCCAGAGCTGAACTTCGTACTCAACTTCACCTTATCCGTTCACATACAACGAGAAACATGCAAGGGCTGAGCAGCTCGAAACGAGGTACAAGAAACCACGCTCAGACTGCAACACTCCACACCTCGCTCAGCAGCTCAGTATAGCAAGCGTACTGATCAATCTCCAGATGTCGCAAACCAATGTTGTCGATGCTCGTTCCTTGCGGTCCAGCGCTGCGCTCCACTCACTGGCCAAGCAGCGGACGATGAAGACGAGTCTTTGAGTCGACGAAAACAGCACCCAACGTGAGCGCACGTGGGTCAGTCAGTCAACGAGGCAGGAGACAAGCTCAACGTCGAGCTGTGGGTATGTGCAACGATGCACAACCCGGAATGCAAACGCCCCGGAGGGTCAAGATGCAAAGGCACTCAGAATTGAACTTGCTCGTTACAAAGTCGCTCCCCTTCGCCTGCGTTCGACCCTCACACTCTCGCAACACGACTGCCTTCCTCAGAACACCAACCGTTCAGACCGCTAGAATCAAGAAATGGACGGAAGGGGGGCGGAGAGAGAGAGGAGGAGGGGGCACTCACAACCCAAACAGCCCCTCCTAAATACCCCCGCCAGCTCCAACAGCACTACAACTTCAACAACCCTTGGATAGTCCAGCAGACACTTTGAGAAAAAGGCCCCAGTACCCCTTGCACAAACAGTCCACCTCCTTAGAACTTCCCACTGACCTTCACACAAAATTTCCCACCATTGTACCATAACTAGTATTGCCTTTCTAGTTTGTACTTTCCTTGACCGTCAACTGACCCTATGGTCCCTATGCATTCCTAGGGGCCAGCCTGGCCCTTTTTGCACGGTACTGCAAGTAGTAGTCTGCGTCATACTCAAAAAGGTGGTCGTCATTATCCCTGGCTGCCCGCCATGCAAACACTTCAGCTTCATCCCACTCTCCCATCCCCGCGCGATTCCTGGCGACCACCGCGGAACGAACACGGAAGGCCTGGCATTCGCTTTCCGTGGCCGCCACCCATCGTAGAGTGAACGCGAGCGTTCCCTCTCCCTCGCCCGCCATTCGCCAAGCCGCGGTCGAGTCCACAGCCCCGAAGATCCACCGGTTGGGGAGGCCGGAGCTGTGGATGGCACCCCATGCCAAAGCGCCATCGGCCCCCGCCTCGCAGCCCTGCTTGACGAGAAAGGCTGCCTCACTCGGGACGAGGGGCACGCCCAGCTCGCGCGTTCCTTGGGCGGCCGGGTCAGAATGCACCTCGCCTTGTCGCGGGATGGGCACCATCCACCGAGTGGGGATGCAGCTGGGCCCCGCCATTGCCTCCTCGCCCGACCCTTCGTCCGCGTCGCGATGCACTGGCACCCAATCCTGCAGCCTGCTCTGCTTGGTTCGGGCCATCTGCCCAACTTTCAGTGCTCTCCGTGGCGAAACGACAACGTCGCTCCGTTCGGACCAGCGGCAAGTCACGGGGCGCGGAGGCCTTGGGGGCGCAGGATGTGGGGATGTGCCGAACGTGTACAATACATTACAGTACAGAAATTACCAAAGGGCAAATTCCCATACAATTGGTAAGCAACAAAGTATTGTCAGCAACCGCACACCATGTCCCATCACGACTCACTGAACCCTTACGTCCTGTCAGTACCTGTCCCATCAAAGTCCTAGGACCTTTTGTAAAAGTTCAGGTCCATTGAAGGACAACCCCTACGGTCCATGGTCTCCTCAAAAGGGCCAGAATTTGGCCTTCTTTCTCTGCGAAAGTCACCCAAAGGCTCTCTACGAACAGGCCAGCCTTTTTCCAAGGGTGATTTCCATTGGACCTGTACACACTATGGTCCCTTCCTTTCCGTCTGATGTACCCATAGCCTCAATTCCATATATTGGAAATGTGTGACTCAAAACTGTATTGCCTCCCGTCAATCTAAGTGTCTAACTGATAAAGTTCCTTAGCCATCCCGGTTCGAGGTCCCGCTCGTCGCAATCGAATGCACGCGCAGCGATGGGCCACAACGCAGCACAAGTCAAACCGTTTTGGTTCGACCTCTGTGGCAACCTTGGTGCACGCGGTGCTCAAACGCACTCGCCGTGCATGGTCGGACAAGCAGCCAAGACTCAACTTGTCTTACAACCAAACCAAGAGAAGCCACGAACAGTCTCGGGCTCTCTTTAAATACCAGAACGCGCCTCTTTTTTTGCCCACCAACACTCACACTCAGAGCGCCGGATTGAACTCACACTTCGCACACGCACAACACGCTACCCCACAGCACCGACCCCTAGCATCGACCCACGGCACCAACCCACAGCTCCACCCCACAGTCCCAACTCATGATCCCCAAAATTAGTAAGATTGAAGCTAATTGTTGGCCGGCCGTCCTCCTGCCATCTCAATCAGGTCAATGTGTGCACCAGTCAACCAGCACATGAACAGGTGCTTGCATAACATGGCAGCTGCGCCTGTCATGGTGTGTCAGACTTTCATCTCTTTAGCTTGGCTTTTTGATATGTATTCACTGCTCTCATTGAGTTTCACTGCACATCAGTGTTCAGCCACTGACCTCCAGTTATGAGAACTGGAAAGTTGCATGTGAAACATCGAGAAAAATGACAGCCATCCAAAGATATTGTTGATGGCATTCCTCGAAACGGGATTCTCATATGCCACCATTTAATCATCGGATTACAAATCAGTAATTGACGGAGGTAGATCAGTGGTCAATTACTGGTAATTCGAACACTAACCAGATTAGTTCCTGCCCTTTTCCTTGGCAAAATGACAGCGCAGCCGCAGCTGCCCGTGCTGCCCATCGACAGGTCTCAAAATGACCCAGATTATACAGATTGGGCCGGTTCTGATTATCACAATCGCAGATTCACAGAATAGGGGACATCTAAGCCTAGATTGCTTTGAGTCAACCGTACTGGAATGTAGCTGACGGCGCACACGTTTTTCCTTGAGTACATAGCAGTGCTAGGACTATTAAAATCAGCCATCTTTGTACGTTTCAAGGGAAAACTGGCTGGCTACATCCGTACTCTTTCCCACCACCTTTTTACTCGATTACAGTGATGGCCATTAAATTGAATAGATTGAGCTGTAATCGAACAGTTACAGTGTAGATGTCGTTACTAAAAGAGGCTAAATGACCTGGGGACTCCCAATGCCCGCCACATCTCCACCCCTCAACCCTGCATGCCTTCGTCGTCAACTTGTGGAGCGTCCTCCAAAATGGAGCGACCTCCAAAACTGCAGTACTTTGCGACTTTGCCAGTTACCCCTCGTCAGATTGCCCCCTGGCCGGGGGGTGGCAGCGCATCAGTCGTACACCACCCTTGATTCCATTCCTCGTGCCCCTGGCTGCCCCACGTGGCCCCAACGGCCGGTCTGCCGCCCGGGCAGCCACCCAAAAAGCGCGCGGAACGCGCCTAGCCGTCCCAAGCCGGTCGCCCCGCTTTAAGAAAACGACCGCCCTGCCAGGTCGGGGCGCGCCGATCCGATCCGACGCCGCCCGTAGGCGCGTCGATCGCCGGTTGGATCCCATCAGCCGGAGAGATCGCGCAGAGGAGGATCGCCGGGGGGATGCTCCAGCGCGGCGGGGACAGGGCCCCGCTGCTGTCTGCCGAGGCGAGGCCGCTCGAGGCGCAGATTGCCGGCAGGGGCCTGCGCAGGGGAGCCGGGCGGCCAGCCAGGGTCGCCCTGAGGACGGTGTCGATCGCGCGGCCTGAGGGGTGGGTGGGGTAGGGCGGGATCGCGACTCGGCTGGAGGGCCCAGCGATTCTAGGCGGACGAGTGTTCGGGTTGGGGCGTTGCGGTGCCTGGGGTGTGGGTGGAGGGGTCCTCGCTGTGATGTGGGAGATGGGTGGTGATGGCGGCCAGCGGCCAGGGGGGGCTGTGGCGACTTTCGCTGCCTTGTGTGTGCCGTTGGGCCAGAGCAAGGGGACATGATTAGCGTCTGACATTGCTTCTTCTGTATTCGAGTGCCCTTGCCCCCGCCCCCGACCCTTCCCAACCCTCGCCCGCCCGCCCGCGGATCGCCTGAATGCCCTCGCGGCTTCGCGGGTTGTGCCCTTTGTCGTTCCCATTCTGCGGCACGGTCGCTTCGCGCACTCGCGGGGGAGAGCGCCCGGCATTTTCCCCCGCGCACCGGCGTTTTGGCTTGGTTGTTAGCGGACACATTCGCTTACCGTCGTGGGCGCCGTCGTGTTGTCGACGAAAGGATGCGTCCCCCTTTTTGTACATTGACTGCATCTGACGCTTGGGCATACATTGGCCTGAAAGTCGACGAGCCCAAGATGGGTTTCCCCCAGGAGATGGCTGAAAAGCTCCCCCCTGGCCTGATCTGTGCGTGCTTGATCGACAGGAACCGTTCGGCAGCTCCAGCCGCGGCAAAGCAGACGAAGGCCATAGCGGAGAAAATCGATGCGGAGACGGTGAGTGGGGGGTTCTTGCTCACTGTTGTCGCCACAACGAATTGGAGAGGGAGGGTGGGGCTGCATATGGGGATTGATGGCAGACGTCCGAGAGGACGACTGTTCCATCCCTGTCAGGGTTTGGAGCGCTCCTGAAAAACAAGGCGAAGGACCTGGTTGATCGCAGCGGGCCCTGGGGCTGGCTTTGCTTTCATGCCTGCATGCAGTCCCAACAACAACGACAGTAATGGAAAATGCCATCTTTCGGGTATGCAAATCGGAAACGAGGGGGTTAAGACAGCTCTTCTTGTTGTTCCCCCCCTCATTTCTGATCTGCAGTGCCGAAAGGTGGCATAAGCTGAAGCCAGCTTTTGAGTTTGCCAGGAGCAAGGCCGACTTAGCGAATGTTCAACAGTGACATAACTGAGGAATCATTGATTATGGCAGCAGTAGCAGCAACAACCCCAACCTCCACGCCTTATGGAAATGCTGCTGCAGTCATGCACTTTTCCTCCCAAACAAGACTGGACAGTTGACCTCTGTGGATTAAGGGGTCTTACATCTCTCTTGCTGGCAATGTTTCTTGTGGATAAGGACCTGTTTCATGATCCATAGCAGCTATCCAGACAACTTTCATTTCTTTCATGCTCTTTTGTGTCGGCTGAACTTCATCATCCAGTCAATGAACAACAGCAATAGCAACAAAAACAGATCCTGCACAGGGCTATTGCGTAGGTCCTCACCAATCCCAAGCATGGAATCTCCAATATGGTGATTCAAGATCCACACATTGTCGGCGGCAAGCAACAAGGCATGCAGCAGCAAGATAAAAGTGAATACTTGGTGGGTCAACCAGGATTTCAAGAAATGGTGCCGTGTCCGAATCCTAAAACATTTGGCATCCTGAAGAATTCAGATAAATAAGCACACCAAGAAGCACCAGTAAGCAACAATCGCGAAAATGTGCAGTACCAGTGGGTACTGCCAACCTCACAGGCATGTGAGTCGCATTGATGACATTCGTCCAAAACATTTTGCTAGCAAATCAGTGGCACCTTGAAAGGTGATGCCCGGCACTGTAGCATGCACCTCAAGCTTGTTCATACCTCATACAAGCAAAGTTCTGCATGCCCATCAGTTGTGTCAGGACCAAACCATGTGTTACAGGGCTACAGGATTGAGCTCAGGAGGCACACACCACACTCCCAAACACTATTGTTGTTAGCATTCTTTAGTAATTGAGAATTGGCAGCAATGAGCCTGATTGTCCCCAGACCCAGCGACATAGTTCCAAAGGTTGCTGCAGCTGACCTAGCGTTTGTATGTTGCTCTTTGCCAGGTGATGGGACCACCTCCACAGGGCTCCATAGCCTACACAACTCCATGGCAGGCGCTGAAGGAGCATGTGAAAGAGATTGACAAGACGTGAGCATTCTTTTGCAGTTGAGCATTAGGTGGAGAAGTCACAGCCGCTTCCCCACACAGACAACCAAACAGTGACGAATTCGTAAATCTGAAAGTTATGGTCCAACTAGGTAGCTTAGTCATATGTGTAAACCAAACAACAGCCCCGCAACTACAAAGTCACCTGATGTTGCTGCAGCCCTCACTAAGTGCACCACAACATCAATATCAAGTCTCCTTTGCGCTGTTGCTCCTGCTCTGTTCCTTCCTGCTATTTCCCAGAGAGCGCTGGGTGTTGCAGATGCCCAGGATACATAAGGGCCTCCCCAGTTACTTGTGGTGCGGCTGTTCCATTTTCTGCCTGAATGATGATATGCTCATTGCTTGTCAGCCATCTGCGCGACCTTCTGGCTGAGGAGGGGAGGACCCTTGCCCTCATCAAGGAGTACAATGGCATCTATTGCGATTTCTCCCGCCAGCGAGTCACAGAGCAGACCCTGGAGGTATGCGGAGGTATGCTCAGGTGCCTGCCTAGTCTGCACATTTGCAGGGCTCCTGCCGGGGATTCTGCTCTCTGGCAATGTGGAGCTAAGTCTCGTGAGTTGATGCCACCAGCCACTGCACCTCCACATGGCAGTCAACAGCACTCGTCGCTCTAGCTTCAGAGAACGGAGTGAACTTCCATAATTCAATGGCATTTGCATAGTACCCTCGTTAAGCCACTGCCATATGCCTGCGTTGAGGTTTACATGCTGCACTGGTTGCAAGTGGTATCTTTGGCTGTCTGTTGTGTCATCAGCTGTACAAGATGTTCGATCTCTCCCCATTTGTTCGCCTGTTCTTAACAAGTGAAGAGTCAAGTTGTACAGACAGCAGCTGCCTTGTGCCTAAAGTATTGAGCTGCGCACTGCATTGACAAGACAATGCAGAGTCTGTGGGTACAGCAGATAAAGGTGCACAAAACGAAAGGCATAAGTTGCAGAAACGTGTCCTTGAGGTTTTGAGAATTTGGTATTTGTTGGTTGTGGGCAGCTGCTGTACAACTTGGCAAGGGAGGCTCAGCTGCAGCAGAAGATTGACGCGATGTTCAAAGGGGAGAAGATCAACACGACAGAGGGACGCCCTGTGCTCCATGTGGCAACAAGGGCAAGGAGAGATCAGGTTTGTGGGAGCGAATCGATATTGTGTGCAGTCCAGCGTCACATGAGACTTTTGGGACGAGACTGCTATTGGAAGAGAAGCCTGTGGATGTGAACTAGGCCTAAAATTGCCAGAGGTGCAGGGCTGTCCTGTGTCATACTTTGGAAATAGTAGTTTGTGGTTGTTAATGCAATCTTTTGGAACTGAGACAGCAGTTCTAGCCCCTGCACTACCCTTTGTGTTGGAAGTGAGGAATGGAGATGCACACACAATGGGACGCAGGCATTGTGTGTGGTCAACACCTGAGAAGGTTGATTTTCAGGAAACTTCCACCTGTTGTAGTGCTCTTCAGATCCAACTGAATTTTCATTCAAGTTCAGTAAGCCTGTTGCAATGAATTTGTCACTGAGTTGTCGCAAACCATGCTCGTCAGTGCACTGTAATCCTTTGCAGCAGTAAGGCTCTGTTGATCATGGGTGTGGACGTCTTGACAGCCTAAATAATCTTGGTATAGGAAACCAGAGATGTGAACCAATGTTTTGATTGTGCGCTTTGGTCCAGTAGAAGATATTTGTTGATGGAAAGGACGTTGTGCCCGATGTGTGGAAAGTGCTTGACAAGATCAAGGACTTCTCGAATAAGGTCCGAAGTGGCGAATGGCTTGGAGTCACTGGCAAGCCCATCAAGAATGTTGTGGCGGTGGGCATTGGTGGGAGTTTCTTGGGGCCGTTGTTTGTGCACACTGCTCTCAGGTAGGCTTGGACTGGATGTGTACCAGCCTTTGTAAAGCATGCTCTTGTTCCCATAAGCATTGCATTCTGCTGCCCTGTGACAAGCTCTGCGCGCTGTCCTTGCCCTGCATGAAGGCAATTGCAACATAACAATACCCCGAATGGTGGCTGTCAGCAGCCCAGACAATTCATGCTCATGCGCCTTGCCATTGATGATGGTCTTCCCCTCCATGGGAACCTAGCTCCATACATAACCATGTGCACCATCCTCATACAGTGGCAAACAATTGCAGCACCCTGAAGTTTAGGATTGCTGGTCGTTGTATGCAGTTGCTGTTGTCATGTTATGCTGCTTGTTTATGTGTATTCATGCATATACACACCTGTTCAGGACGGACCTGACCGCGGGTGCTGCCGCGGTTGGTCGCCGCTTGCGCTTCCTGGCCAATGTGGACCCCATCGACGTTGCAAGAGCGCTTGACCAGCTCCGCCAGGAGGAGACCATGGTGGTCATCATCTCAAAGACGTTCACCACTGCCGAGACGATGCTCAACGCGAGGACACTGAGGACGTGGCTCACAACAGAGCTCGGTGAGCTCAAGTGTTGGTCTTGGGCCGTTATGAGATCATGTCTGCTGCCATCGCTATCAGAATTGTTGCCGCGGTTCCTGCGGCTGCTGTTGTTGTGGACATTTGTCAAATAGAAAAGGAAACAAGTCGCCAAGTCTCTGTGAGTGCATTTACCATTTTTATGTTGTTTGCAAAGAGTCTGACGAGACGTCGCTCAGCGACAATCAGGGTGACACAATACACTATTGACCCCAGGATTGCTTGCTGTAATTGAATCATTGCCGTAACGCCACATTTTGCCAAGTGTCAGTGTGTTAGTCCTGAATGAAATGAATCCACCTGCGCAGCTTAGGTGTCCATCACCACTACAGGCAGCCACTGCAGTCCTGAAGAGCTGTGAGAACACTCTGAAAAGACTAAATACACTCCAAAACGATCAGGGCAGCTTTGAAAGCAGAGTGACAATACTTGCACGCATAACTGCTGTGATTGTAGTGCTGGCTATTTTTGAAAGGCCACCACACGATGACAAACTGAAATGCTTGCAATCCCAAAGTGCCATCCCTAACGGCCTGAGTAACCTGTCGAGTAGAATTAGCTTGTCCTGATCAGGAGTTGGCTGCCTTCGTGCCTGGTTCAAGTGCAGTGTGGATGCCATGGCTTTCCATGTGTCCAAAAGTGCGAGAAAGCTGCCCATGCACCTTTCCAGGAGATGATAGGCATAATTCCTCCCATAGGAATGTGCCCAGGAGTACATTTGTACCTATGCCATTTGAAAGTGAAAGTGCTGTGCTTTGTTGCATTCTTGGCAAACTTTGTGATATCCCTCTACCCCCCTTTGCTCTGCTTGCAGCGACACATAAATTGACGAGTTGAATGCAGCGTAGGATGCAGTGCTTTGCACAATACCACAGATCACGGAGGATAGCGCCCCTCCCGCGTTCCACAACAGGGCTGACGTCAGGAATGCAGGAGGCGCTATCTTGCGTGCCCCAGCGGTATCTTCTGTGCCCCCCGCGTTATCACGCTGGCTTTCATACCGGCAGCAAAGCGTGCCGGCGCCCCACCAACTGAGCGCATTACATAAGGCGCGCCATTCACGGTAGCAACCAAAACCGGCGCCAAAAAAAGTGAAGAGATGCCACAGGTCGCTGCATTATGCTGCGCCAGGTTGATTGGCAAAGCGAACCGGCGCCTGGCCAATGTAGCATATTACATAGCATTACATCACTTTAGATAAGGCGCCAGTCACAACACCAACCAATAGCAGCTATTGCGTCGTTGCACTGCACTAAAAGCAGCCTGGAGATCCCGATGACCTTGGTTTGAGTGATGGTAGTATGGAGCTAGACACTGAGAATGTTGAGGACATGGTGTTTGATTGAAGGAGGAATGTCATGGCAATGTTTAGTTGGAGTGAACTAGATAACACTGGGGTGCTAACATATGCAATGAGATGTAAGAATGTGTGAAAATGCTTCTGCATTGTGGTTGTACGTGATGCTGAAGTGAACAATGGTGTCCTGTGCTATCTTGCATATCCCCCGCACTCCGCAACACCGGCCATGTTTGGTAACGCCAGGGCCGTTATCCAAAGGCCTCCGCACTATTCAACACCCTCTGCGCTATCCTCCGTGATCTATGGCAATACCATTTGGCAGCATCCACAGATATCAGCAGAAGCATGGCAGTCTTGGACAATGATATTCTTGGCTCTTGTTGGTCCCATTAGTTCCTTTCTTTCTTTCTTTCTTTCTTTCCTAGTAACAGCAGTGAATGCATCCTTGTGTCTGTCGACTAGGTGAGGCCGCTGTTGCGAAGCACATGGTTGCAGTCAGCACCAACATCGAGCTTGTCACCGCCTTTGGCATCGAACCCCAGAACGCCTTTGGTTTCTGGGACTGGGTGGGGGGCAGGTACTCTGTGTGCTCTGCCGTCGGCATGCTCCCCCTCTCACTGCAGTACGGCTTTGACATGATGGAGAAGTTCCTGATGGGAGCCAATGACGTGGACGACCACTTTGCAAGAGCGCCCTTTGAGAGCAACCTGCCTGTGCTGCTGGGCCTGCTGTCGATCTGGAATGTGTCATTCCTGGGCTATCCTGCACGGGCCATCTTGCCGTACTGCCAGGTGCGCAGCTCCTTGACATGCTGTGTCCAACTCCAAGAATGTGTGTTGTATTGCTTAGTTTTTGCTTTGACTTGGTACATTTTCCTTGATTTTGCTTTGCTCGGTAAATGGTGTTTTGATTTCTTATCTTTCTTTGTAGTTGCTGGTGCTGTACTAATGCTCCTGACGGTATGGAAGGTGTTGTGTTTTGGTTCCCCCATCCTGGTCATCATGTTCATCGATACTGGCACACCAAGCTGGCAGAACCTGAGAGGCTGGCTGGGTCCATGCGCAAGTTGTCCTGTTTGACAAGCAGAACACGTCAGACAGGGCAGTTTGTGCACGGGCTCATCCAGCCCTAAGGCCCTGCCAACTTGGCTTGCATGATGTGGTGTCTCACTTGAGTTTGTATCGCTCCTCATGGAAGTGTGCAGTATCAGTTCAGTGTGATTTCCTTGGCAGCGGATGCCCAGGCAGTGAGGATCATTGTGCAGATCCATGGTGTGTTGTCACAACCCAGGCGCAACCCAGCATGCGGAAGAGCCCAAGATATCTGAGCTTAGTTGTGTTGCTCGTCAGTCTTAATTTTTGTGTTATTTCCGATTCTTGCTGATTGGCGCTTGAAGTACTTTAAGCGCTAAGTATTGAAGTTGATTGTTGACAATGAACAGAGCCTCGTAGCCGTTGGTGCTGTTCTGGCCACAATCTGCTCGTTGCATGCTGCTAACACATGCTCTGTTACCCGCCTCAGGCCTTGGCCAAGCTCGCCCCTCACATCCAGCAGGTGTCGATGGAGTCCAATGGAAAGGGCGTGGACATCAATGGTAAGCCGCTGCCCTTTGACGCCGGCGAGCTGGACTTTGGGGAGCCAGGGACCAATGGGCAGCATTCCTTCTACCAGCTCATCCACCAGGGCCGTGTCGTGCCCTGCGACTTCATTGGGATCGTCAGATCCCAGCAGAGTGTGTACCTGAAGGGGGAGATCGTTTCGAACCATGATGAGCTGATGTGCAACTTTTTTGCCCAGGTTGGTATGGTGGGCTCCTGTGTGAATGGGAAGTGCACCCCACTGGTGTTGTGTGCACCGTTGTGCTGTTGTCTCATCGGCTGTTGTGTTGCAGCAAATATGCTGCAAGTTATTCTGGTTTGGCAAGGCATTGATAGTCCAGGTGCCACCTCACAGGAGGCTGCTTGGAGATGCGAGCCCAGTAGATTGACTGTATGAAAATGAATGCAAGTTTCACTATGCAGTTCGCCGCCCTGGGGTTCTGGCGTATCAGAAATCTTGGCATATCAGAATGACCGTTCCGTTTGATGCAAGGAACCAACCAAATCGAACATTGTTGTGGTGGTTGTTGAAATTGAGACTGCATCGCTAACGACAGCAGCATGTGCCTGCATAGTTTTCTGGCTGGAAGGACATGCTTGGTGCAAAATAAGGGCTCCTTGGCAACCTGACAAGTACTGGTTCAGTTGCTGTTTGTAAGAACAGCTGGGTTTGTCTGCGGTTGAACCTTTCAGATAACGCCGAGCCCTTGTGCACTGTGCCAAAGTCATTCGTTGCCCAGACTGTGCCTCTGTTGTCTCTGTTGTATGTAAAGGGAAGCTTCCCCGAGAACAGTCGGAGCCCAGTCTACTGGCCACACCACAAACAGATCATTAACAAGCTTCCACACAGTGTGCCAAATTGCATGCCGCGCTTCAGCTGTGGACACTTTGGAAGGCACACGAGTAGTCGTTTGCAAGTCACTGACAACTGTGCTCAAATGACTGACAGCGGTGCACCCAATCAAATGCTGTGCATCTGAGGCATACAATCAGCACTGTGGTCTGTGGTAGTCTGTGCATGCTGAACCCTCAAAAAGCACTACAAGAAAGTGAAGCCGCGGTGCCGGTGGCCCGAGGTGCGGTGAGGCCCAGTGAGGCCTGGTGGCCCGGTGCCCGGTGCCGCGAGAGTGAAGCTCCAATCCTTTGATTACATTTGTCACATGACCAAGACAAAACACAGCCCCGGCACCTTATTGGCGATGTTGGGCACTAATTCCATGCAAGTGTTCGTTCGTATCTCAACATTTGTTCATTTCCACTCAGACCCCCCCCCCCCCTTTTTCCCCGAATTCCCTCCAGGAATGAAAGGAGCTCGTGTCTTATCTCGGCATCTAGGAAGAGCAGCTGAAGTTGAGAAGTTCAGCAGAGCCTGTGGCTTCAATATAAAGTTCACTTTTGATCCATGTTGTGCCACTGACACTGGTGCCAATGTCGCAGGCCGACGCCCTGGCCTACGGAAAGTCGCCAGTGGAGCTGCGCGCACAGAACGTCCCGGACCACCTCATCCCCCACAGGTCCTTCACTGGAAACAGACCTTCCCTGTCGATCATGCTGCCAGAGCTGTCTGCATACCAGGTCGGTGCCCGTGGCATGTGCCGCACTGCATTGTGTGGTTTCCCAGGCAGTTGAGGAGTGTATTGCCGTTCCATTTTGCTACTGAACTGGTTTGCTATGATGTTGCTATATTGGTGGGTTGCTATTGTCCTGTGCATTATTATATTTTGCTGTAGATATTACTACTTCCTCTGTCCGGAATTTAATGGGGCCTTTTGTTCGAGAGGCCAAATTCATATCACGCACTTATCTATTCTTTACAAAAATTTCAGAGCACCTAGTAAGGTCACATGTGATGCTCTGGTCAAAATTGCAAGTAAAATATTAAGTACTTTGCAAATGACGATACCTTGAATCCGCACAACCCGGGCGCAACGTCTGAGAATCTCAAGGGGTCGTGGCTGGGGTCCCCGGGTGTGGCCCTGCACTTGACGCCGCGCACCAAGAAATGAATATCTGCCGCCACCGTTGAAACGGCAGGTCGGAGCCGTCCCTGAGGCGAGGCGAGACTGCGGTGCCGGGCTTGAACCACCCGATCGTCGATCCCCACCGTGGATTTCACCGTCCAACCAGATGCACATTCGGAGGTCGGACATCCGAAAAATCGGCAGAGCTCACGGTCCAGATTCCTTCCAACGCACTCCGCCACCAGTGACGGGGTGCACGAGGCTTGCAAAGGCACTGTGAAAAGTTGGGAAGGAAGGCGTTCTCGTCCTTCTGCACCGGAGCAGAAAGATCGCCAGAAATGGCTGTCGCGGCCACACCCTCTGCAGAGGGCTGCCGCGGCTGTTCAGGATGCTCTGAAAGACACCATCGTCCGAAACTTCAGACGCTAGCCACGAAGGATATTGAAAGGCTAGCCGCACAGACACTAAGAACCTCCATCTGCCCATCGAAATGTTACACAGCCGAGATTGGCGGGAGTTCATGGCTTGTTGAGAGGCATGTCTGTGCTTCGGGCATGCCACTTGCCTGCAAGCCGCGACGGAACATAGAGTCATTGGCGCAGGCAGCGATAGGAGGGCGCGTCTCAGGATACCTAAGAACCTGCTAGAAGGGATGGAACCTACACATGTCCGTGTGCCGCTGCACACGATGGGTTGAATTCCCGGACATCGGCGATGGAGACAAACAGATCCCGGTGCCGTTTCTGCTGGTGCTCCACCGCGATGGTTGTCGATCATTGGGCTGGAGCCCGAGTTGCGTGAGCAGCAGTACTTTCACGGCGCTGTGGAGTCCACGGGAAAGGTTGCACTCGAGAGTGGGGCGTTCCTGGACGCGGAACCCCACTGCCGGCCAGGCACATCCCTGCGATGGGTCAAAACTACGGTATGGAGGGGGCCGTATTTGATGTCCTGCCAAATTTGCTGTGACAGTGCATTATCTACAAAAGTTTGATAGCATTTAAAGAGCTCATAGTGGTGATGTACTCTGATTTTCAACATAAAATAACGAGCTTTTACATGAATGCAGCCTCTCAATCAAAGGCGACATTTGTTTCCGGACAGAAGAAGTATGTGTTTATTTGCAGTATGTTTTCAGGATACTGTTTTGGTTGATTTGCATTTTCTGTTGTGTTGTTGCGAATATTTGTTATTTTGTAGTCTGCCTTGTAGTCATTTGCTGTGCTCTGAGGTGCTGGGGTGATGGGTGCTGTGCCATAATTCTGGCGTGGCATAGAAGAGCCTCACACTCTTGCTGTCCACAAGGTGGCTCCGGTTTATTTGCTCAAATGTTAAACATTGAATGACTAGAATATTTTGATTAACGTGCATTCCTCTTAGCTTTCCCATGATGGGATACCGATGATACGGCTCGTCTCCCTGTTGGCTGTATGGTTTGCTGCTACACCATTCCGTTACTGCACAACTGTTGTTGCACTGGGCTACTGTGCTGCATTTCGATTTTTGGTGAGTGCTGGTTGCGCTCAACTTCAGAACTTATCCACCATGTCGCCGAGCATGAAGGACTGTCTAACAGAATGCTTGCCCAGGTGGGAGGTGCCTGTTGTGCAGCCTGTGTCCTTTTTGCTGAAGCCTTTTCCTGTCATGCAAGGTGGGACAGCTCCTGTCGCTGTACGAGCACAGGGTGGCGGTGCAAGGCTTCGTGTGGGGGGTGAATTCCTTCGACCAGTGGGGTGTGGAGCTTGGCAAAGTCCTGGCGAGCAAGGTGGGCGCGACGGCCTTGATATTTCCTTACTTGTCAACCGGATTTTACAGACGGCCGTGTCGTATTTTGGATTCGCAAACGATATTTGTGTCCGAACTCAAGTTCCACCTGGACGTGCTCTTAGCTCTTGGTTCCATAGAACTGGTTGAAGAAACACGACTCTGGTCTTGTTGTCTTGCAGGGAATTCTGTGTCACCACGTGTGGAAACAGTGCATGGTGGTGGTGGGGGGGGGCTTTGTTTCCAAGTAGTAAAGAATGGGAATACTGTACTTGGGTGGTGCTAGCCATGGTTTTGTTGCAATCTATCAAGAGGGCGAAAGAATATTTGCAGGCCATGTGTAGTACCACACTGCATTCTGTTTGGGGCACTAATGAGCCACTTGAGTTATGAAAGCCCCTATGAGCCGGAGATTTTATTGATGCATTTTGAATGCAAGGCATTTTTGTTGTGTCTGATCGCTTTACAGTACCAAAGTTGTGCACTTTAAGTGGGTGGGTGGGCAGGGAGTCCAGATCTGTGACGATAAGAGATTATGCAGCTGCCACTAATTCGATGAAGTTGTGGACATGCCCCAAACGCCACTGATCAGTGGCAAACCACTTCCGACTTCCGCAGAAAGCTCCCTCAACCATTAAATCTTTAAGGACTGCCCCTGTTTCCTCAAATGACCTCCTTTGGGGGTGCCCTTATTGCTTGCCGTGGCTTAAGAATCCCAGTCGTGGCCCAGTACATTCACTGCAGATCTGGCAGTTGTTTTCCTTCAAAATGTTCTAAAATTTGTAACGCACTATTTGGTAATGCTGCTGAGTCATCTTGGCATCGACGTAAGGGTTGACGCTAAGGAAGGGAAGAGGAATCAACTCATCGTCAAATTGACGCTAGACATAGCAAATTCAACATAACGTCTTCCCTTGTATCAGTCACTTTAGTAGTACAGTGTGCACCCTCTGTTTAAAAAGGCGGTATGCCGATGTTGGCTTCGGTCCGCAGGTTCGACAAAAGATGAACGAGACGCGCACAGGCAACCGCAAGATCAACGCAGCAGACGCTTTCAACCCCTCGACCATGTTCATGATCAACAAATACCTGGAGGGAAAGAACGTGTTGACGTACCCAGAGCCGCGCGACGTTTTCCCTGGCGACCTTCTGAAGCCCAAGGACTGATGGCGAAGTGCTGCACCAGCATGCGGCTCTTTGTGTCATTTAGGCACTGAACCAGATTTGCACAGTTCGCTGAAATGGCGTTGACCATCAGACTGCCGGCGGTGTTGGAGTGACCATCGGGTTTGTTTGTTTTGCAATGTTGGACTATCTGCACTTGCCAGCTCTGGTGCCTGGCGACCAGGTTCATCTTGACTAAACACCAAGCACTGTGTGGAGCTGCTGTGCAGCGCCCGTTGGTTGCCAATTTTTTCTATGGCAGGAGCGGTGTGTGCAGCCTTGCGCGGATTCGGGACGCAATTGCCGTTCATTTTATCCCCCAAGACATGCTGCCAGGCAGCACACTGCTGCCAGCATACAGTAGTGTGGTACTACCTGTGGCCGGGATGGCTGCTTTCCATGTAGCTATCCTGACCACACGGATTCGCTACTAGTTGGATTACCATTTCATTGGTTGTACTGTAAGATTCACTGTAGGACTCGGCATTAAATAGCGGGCTGGTGAAACCTCTCGATGAGGTTCGGATATTTATAGAGTAGGCAAGCGGTCACCGCTGCAGCGACAGGACAGTTGAACAGCGCCACGCTTGAAGCGATGACCACGATGTTACAAAGTGCGGGACTCCCACAGGCCAAGGCCGTCAAATACTAGGCCGTTGGTGAGATCCGCAGGGCTTCCCGCACAGACGAGGACGGCCATCTTGAACTGAGCAAGGGCCTACCTGGGGCGCAGCCTGGAAGAATGCACAAGACGCATGTGGCAGCAGAGAGGGCCAGCTTGCCCGTTGTCGTTGGAGGCAGATTGGGGCCTCCTTTGGGGCAGAACGCTCGACAGTTTTGTTCGAACATGTCGGAGGGCGTGGGGCATCTCTTCAGCTGGAGTCCAGTCTGCAGCAGTTCGCAATTTTTGCGTCGCAGGTTTGTCCAGCCATCAGAGCGGCAATCTGACACTAAGCCTCATGCAATCGACAAAGCATCGCCCCTTGCTGATACCTTGTTTTTTTTGTTAGGGTTGGTTGTTTTTTGGTTTTTCAGGGTGTTTGTTTTAGGTGTTAGGGTTTAGGGTTTTAGGATTTTTAGTGTTTAGGGGCGCAGCTTGCATACCAACCGTGCAGTGACTACCGTCCGTCCTGAACGCGGCAGTGGCCCCTGCGGTATTGATCGGGCATGCTGTTGGGGATTACAAGGCCGGGTGATAAACTCGAACTCCGAGCAATGCCCAACTCGAGCGGCTGGGCACCGCTGGCCTGTGTGGGCTTGGACTCGCAGGCAGGAAACGTGCAGCGCCACCGCACTGTGCCCTCCATACAATTACAGGAAAGTGGGCGGCAAAGACGAATAGTGTGTTGAAAAACACAGAGTCGGAGCGGGGGACCTTCGAGAATCCAAGTGCTCGAACGGCCGCGCCCCCCTTCCCCGCTTCGCCCTACATGGCCAGCTGGGTGAACAGCTCTGCATCATGCCATGGCAAGAGTCTGGCGATTTACCCTGTTTTAGGAAAGCTGGTACAAGGCACAGTACTTCGCAGCACTGGATTGTACCACTCTTTCCTGAAAGGCTGACACCGAGTCAAATTCGCACTCTCCACTTGTGTCCTTCAATGCGCCGCCCACAGGTCGAACCACGTCCGCATGTTTGATCAACGGTGAAGATGCTTCCGCTCCAGCACGAGCTGCGGATTGGCGAATGCAGACCCACCGTACAGCATGAGCCCAAAGGCGCCCAGGATGCGCGTGAGACCACGGCCGAATTCCCACAATCGCCAGTCCAGGCAGGCAGCATCCCCGGCACATCGACGGTTCAGCTGGCCGCCTCGAGCGCGTGCACCGCGTCGTGGACTCGCCCTTTCGGCGCTGCACTCGCCAGCGCGGTCATCGCGACGTCAACGAAATCGTGCCCATGGCGTTTCAGGAATCTGAACCTCTCCTGCATCAGGTGCAGAACAGCTGTCATTCGTCGGATTTTCAGCTTGCGATCATTTAGGTGTTGTGTGCTATGCACTTAATTGATGTGCTTGTAGATGATTGTAATAAAGAGTGCGCATGAAGATGAAAGTCCACCTTACTCGGTAGCTTCTTCTAGTCATATTGTCTGTTACTTCAAGAGTTTTCTAGCCCTTGGTCACGGCACACTGCTTCAGGGAAATTGACAGGAAACTGCTGGATTCCTCACTGGAGTCCTATCCTTGTTACTCGATGGATGATGGATCAGAGTGAAAAAGTGCGATACATGCTCAAGCAAACAACATCAGCCAGTTCAGTAAATTATCACACGCGTCCATTCACCACAGTACATCCTTACCTGTTGACATCGTGAAGTCTTTCTGCAATGCAAGTTATATCTTCAATGCATTTGCGCATTTGCACTCTCCAAGTGCGCACTAGTTCATGCTCAACAAGCTGCAGAGGAGAGCTGCTTTAGCATTTACTTTCTTCGCGATCCATGGCCCAAAGGAAAGCTGCGGTGCCGGAGGGTTTGCTGCTCGTTGACATCCAACAGGGTTCACACACCTTGTAGCCAACCGGCAGGAGGTCTTCTGCCTCTCCAAGTGTGACGGGCCGGTACTCCAACTCCTCCCCTGGCTGCTGGTCTTCCGCAAGCCTGGGGCTCGTGGATTTGCAAGGCGACACCTCGAATTCGTATTTCGAGGCCTCGTGCAAGAAACGCAGGCCGCCGCCAGCAGTTTGGTGCTTGACCTTGAGGCCCAACAGCCAGGAAGGAAGGTCGCTGGCAAAGGGCGAACTGCAGGGGGCAGAACAGCGAACTCTTACCGCAGCACATTCAACTCTTCCGCATAGTAACGTAGTGCTTGGCCATTTTTCGCGGTGAGAAATTAGCAAATATTTTTGCAGTGCAGCATTAAAAAAAATGCTCTGAAAAGGAAAATGAGGAATAAAACTGGAGTAATCACTTTTTCGATGCGGAAGGGTCTAGTACCATAAGCTGAGAACCCGACTTGAAGCGCGCCGGAAATGAATTTTTTAGAGTCTGACTGAGCGTTCTTGTGTAGGGATCTACCCTGGTGAAATAGGGGTTACGTGAGTGGCGGGGCTCTCCGAGTCCTGGGTGGGCCGGTGGCCGCGCTCGAGGGCGGTTGACGGGAGGCGCGGGGCTGTCGGTGTCGCGGCTGCGGCGCGCTGTGCCCACTTGCGCTCGAGCCGTGGTTTCCCGGCGCGATCCCACGTCGTCGCGGCGGCTATGACGGCCAGCGCCAGCGCCGATGGCCGCTGCGGCGATGCCTCGGGTCCCAAAACCCAACTTTCAGAGTTGCAGCCCCACCCGAGGGCTCCCACCGGGGCGGGGACCTGCTCCATTTCCCTGAAAGATCTCCTCCATGACAGCCATCGGCACGGTGATGGCGGCACACGAGGCAATCACCGCCCACTTCAAAACGAGGCCTTGAGGCCCCCGGTGCCAGGAGTGATTTGATGGGGCTATTGTGGAGATCGGAGGCGTGGGTCCCGCCCGGGCCGATGCGCTTGCTTGAGCGCGACCGCGCGGTGGGGTGTAGACCCCCGCGATCGCGACTGTAGCGAGCGGTGTGTGGCAATCACAAGCCGACATTGGCGAATTCGATCCGGGGTCCGTGTGTGGATTAGAAAATCCGGCCTCAGCGGCGGTTTTGCGATCCAAACATGCGCGTGGAAACGGGATCCCCGGATGGGCTTCCCCGGGTCGCATGGAGGGTGCAAACTCTCACAGCAGTGCTGCGCAGCTGTGGGAGCAGCGACGGTGGCAATGGACACAGCAATCAAAGAACAATTGTCGCCGAACGAAGAACATCAGCTGCGCAACCCAGCCACCAAGTGAGTGGTCTTTTAGTGGATAAAGCAGGAACGAAAGTGCACAACGTCGGCCCGACTTCTGGACTTGGGTTGAATAAATGTACTACGGTAGCCGTTTCCTGTTCAATGCAACTCTTATGTCAGATTACCTATTCTCTTTTCCTTAGCCCTTGGGCCCAGCTCCCTTTTCCCTGCATCTTACGCCCTATTCCCTGTTCCTGGTTTCTTGCTTTATGCAAGGAGTAAGAAATGATGATGAGCTATTTCCACGCTGCCAGGAGCAGCACAGTGTGGGCACAGGGGAGCTGTGGAGGGCAGGACTGCGAACTCTCATCCCTTGGGGTTCCTGGCGCCCTGCTCATTCTCTGCTTGCTCCGGATCGAGGGTGGATGGGTGATAATACTGAGGGGCCCGACAGACCCGATGGACCTACGTACAATACTCTTCTGTTGGGGAGTATGAACAGAATGGGGAAAAAATGTGTGGAGATAAACTAACACGCAGTACATTGGACCATGTTCTCAAAACAGATGCCAGGAGGACCTGCCCACCATGTGCCACTTGTGCGTCTCCCGTTTCAGGAAAAAACATAGAGAGAAATTTTAAAAATAAGTTCTAAAATTCCATTATAAATTTTAGAATTCTAAATCTATAGAAATCTGTGAATTGTGTCTGGGATGAAAAGCCGGCTTGGTATCTCCCTCTTCTTGGAGTCGGATGCATTGGGGGCAAGACCATCTGCACATTCTTTCTGTAGTGTCAGTAGATTGCCAGTAGAGACCATTGGCAAGTCATATACGATTGTGCTTGTTATCAAGTCCTGAGGAAGCACCTCTATTGCAACACCCACAAACATGGTTTGCTACACACATTCATGGGAATGAGGTTGACAGCGAGATTCAAGAACTAAAGGAGAGGGTGGGAACGCACCTGGGCTGGGGTGGTTGATGGAGTGCTTGCAGTGTCTGGGAAGAGCCCCTGCCAGCATTGTCAGTATGCTGCATGCCATGCCTCGGCGAGCACCCATCGGCTGGCCACTGCTCGGTGGCCCCCTGAGCAATGACCGCCTTCAGTAAGAATTTGTCATCAACATCGAACGGCACATCCAGGCCCCTGCGCCTTTGGGGCTTGGCCATTGGTTCGCGGCGATCAGTTTTTGGACTATGTGCATGCAGACTCATACCTGGCATTGCCCATGTCAGGACTGCATTTTTTCTTCCTTTCCTTCTTTGGTTATGTCAAACTTTGGAATGAAAGATGCTGTGTGTTGTCACTTTTACACTTGTCATACAATAAACCACTAAATAATAATGAAAGTGGCCCAGCCTCCTCCCCCCAACCCAACCCGCCAACCCCGAACAGGGAACGGGAGCAGAGATGCTGTTTCGAAACGCATCCCAAACATGTACGCAGTGCGCTATGTTTCACACCCTCCAGTTCTAGTTTCACAGTCCCCCTTTCCATACCATATGTGAATATGTTATGCACAGTTTTGCAACAGCAGTAGAGTGTGATTTTCCGCATCATCGCAATTGTCGATTCCTATCAAATTTCCGACTTGATGAAATCAAATTTGATCAATCATAGATACCCACCAGCGCAGTGGGTGCTAATTGCTACAATCCTTGAAATTGCCTTCAACAAGACAAAGCGCTGCCTTTGCACCTTGTAGGCGATCACGGGCAGATACAAATCCAAGAACGTTTGGGTGCTGGTAGCAACACGAAACACATTTGCAATGGGTAGTCCTGGGCAATAAAGCAAGCGAGTGAAGCCAGCGACTTTCCATGCAGCAATTGAAAGCTTCTGCTCACCTATTGTGCCAACGCAATACGTTGTATGTACAATACATGCTACAACACATCAACACATATCAGACTACCATACTGTTTTGCTGCAACAGTTTTCACTGCCAGATCCATTCAAGCAAGCAACACCTCTTCAGCTGGCGCTCCTGGGGAAGGGCTGTTGACTTGGAATGATAGCTCAGGGGTGACGTCACCAAATTTGTAGACCCTCTCAGGGCACTCCGCAGTTCCAAAGAGTGCTTTCTCGTGCACAGATTGCCTCCTGTAAATTGCAAAGGGCCCAGATCAGCAGTGAGGCTTCAGTTCTGGCTCCCAACTGCACCTGGACGCTGAAATTGATGTATCGGTACTGCAATGTACTACAGTAGTTATTTTGCAATCGAATAAAAACGTTTTGTTACACAAAGGACACACCAAACATGCAACGTTCTTGGATGTCGCCAAGATGCTGGGCACATAGCGGCAAATTGGTGCTTGGACATGTGGACGTCGTTGGCTGCATTTCCACATGCCAGTGGCATCACAATTTCTTTTGTCAACACACTGTTACCGAAAAACAAAGGAACCCATCCGTTGCTACAGTGCTGTGGAAAAAATGAACATAAAATGATGATCAGCTGGCTGTCTGGGGTACAAAAGCAGCGCTGCTGGAATGAATGCATCGTCAAAAGAAAATGTCGACTTCTCACATTACAAATTACTCTAGTGATACAATTGTGATGCAAAGGCACAAGCACAAATTGAAAGTTCGCCCCTCCTACTGCACTGGTCGCACAAACAGGTGACGTGAGGACCACAAGAACCTGTGGAATTACGGGACAAGGAACTAGCAACATTGAGACTGGAATGACGTCTGCTTGCAGAGACATCTCTGCATCAGCCATCAATATTAACTTGTGGGAGTATCCGAGTTTTGAACTCTTCAAAGCAAGGCGCTAACCACAACCGGGCAAGGTCACTTGCCGCAGAACGTTGTATTCAAGCTGCATGCAGATTATTCGGTCATTTATTTACTTATTTATACACCCACTTAATGTTTGTTTTGTTTATTCATTTCTTTATTGAGCCATGTATTTGCTTATTCAGTCCATTATTTACTTTGTTGGGTTCAACTGTTGTTGTTTATTCCCTCCCACATCTATGACATGCATCACACTGAAGAAATTTGCAATATATCATTTCATCGCAGTCGTGCCTGAGGAAGGGACGATTTCGCACTGGCGCCGTCCATGGCACAACTTCCGACAGCCACTCGTTGTCGATCCGGGGCTGGGTGGGCACCATCCTTGCTTCGCAGAGCCCATCTCCTCCACTGACAGTGGCAGTTTCCTGTTCAGCACCAGGCTTGGCCAGTGGTGGAGAACAATGCCATGGTGATGTCTGAGCACCACAACGACTATTATGCACACACACACACACCAGAAACAACAACACCACAGAAGGCCACTTCGATTGAGACAGAGTCTGCTGTATTTTGCACCCTGTGCAACTTGACGGTGCATGGAATTACGATATGGGGGGAACGGAAGACGTTGGTTGAGTGTTTCTGTGCCCATCATCGCCAGCGACGTGCAAGGGCCGTTATTGTCGTTGGTCTTCAACAATTGGATACATTGAAGATTGATTGCAGTGGGACTGACAGAGAAGAAACTGTGTCATGCAAAGGGGACCCTCCCGACAATGCCCACAGGCTGCAAGGGGAGCTGCTTGTTGCACTTCGATGATACTCAGTTTGGACTTGTATTTTCAAGGGACACAGCCCACCTACATAGACCTCTACACGTCCTGCCTGCACTCAAGATTCTGTGAAACAGGAAGTTCAAGCTCGATGCATCTTGAATCAATGCTCTGGACCAGATGAACATACATTGAGGAAAATGTGGCGAGGCCAGAGACTATTTGCGCTATAAGGATGAATGGGCTATTAGGCTATCAGACTTCTTTCTTGATCATCCTTGCATACTGACGACATCCTTGCGAATCTGTTCGTTACTGCGGACTGGAGTGCAATATTTCCAAAGTGCAGGGTAGCACCCCACAAGCAGCAGACAACACGGCAAGAATGGAATAAGATGGCATCTTGTGAGCGTGGTAGGGCTGTCCGCCACTTGCAGAACAGCACATACAACTGGAAACTGACCAACCCAGCAAGAACCAACCATTAACACGAGTCGACAATGAAAACATGGTTTTCCTGCATGGTACGTGGGGCACCCACCTACATCTGATTGAAGAGCGGCACACTCAGTGAGACAGCAACCATCACAGCGTAAAAAGCATGCAACAAGGATCCGCCCAGAATCCGCCCCCAAAAAACGTCAAAAAAAAAATCCATCGAAAATTTTCCCAAGCATCGGCAAGTAGGCCGCCCACCTGATCTCCCACGTTTCCTAAGATGGGCTTGGGCAGGACCTCAACCGCGCCCCTTCGGGCAGCATCCTCCCTCACCACGCACACCTCCACAGTCTGGTCCACTGCCATCTGGCACCTGCCTTCAAGCACTGCGCACTCTGCCCTCGATGCCTTCAGCTGATCCTCAATCACCTGCACATCGTTCCTGCACTGAGCAAGCTCCTCCTTCGCCCAGTCGAGCTGCTCCTGCAGCACAGCGACATCAGCAATTCTGCCCTCCCTCGATTCAGCAAGGTCTTTTTCAGCCTGTGCCCTCAGAAGATCGTTCTCCTCCTTGCCAGCAGACAGTTCTGCCTTGGCACTTGCAAGCTCCCGCTCGAGGTCAGCTGTCCTGGTTTTCAGCTGTGCTGCCTCTTCGCGCCACTGCTGCTGCTCGGCACGGATCAATCCCAGCTCAGACTCTGCATTGTTGAGCTTGGCCCTCATATCTGCCACTTCATTCTAGCAGCCACAGCCACACAAAGGAATATCATCTTGTCACTCACGATCGCTTCATAGTGCCTCGTGCTGGCGAAGTAGAGAGGCAAGGCATATGGGAATAAAAAGCACAAAATGCAGCGCAGCCGAGCTGTGCATGGTCCAGTGCACAGGCATAAGCAACAGATGCATCGAGGTGGTGCAGTTCAATGGATTCGTTGAAAGCTTTCTTTACAGTGATGAAGGATGCTTAGGTACCCCTTAACAGACCCACACTCCATTTCCTGGTGCAAACCAAATAACCACACAGCTCCCCAATGAACATCAACTGAGACGTTAAAATTACGAAGTCCACCAGCGAAGTCCGCGAATACACAAAAAGACTTCCAAACCAGCAGGCCGGCTGGCTGTGGCAACCAATTTGTTCGTGCTCACTGAGGGTGACACTGCGCAACCTGGCAGACCCCGCTGTGCCCAAGGCCCAGCTCGTTCTCCCAGCACCTGGACTTTAAATGTGTGACTTGTGACTTTAAGTGCTATGCTGTATTTGGAATAAATCAAATCTAAACTGATCACCTGGACCTTCACCAGCTGGCTGCGGGCGTCCGCCTCAGCATCCGTGGCTGCTTTGACAAGCTGTGCCTGATGATCCACGTCCTGTTGCAATTGGTCGCACAGCTTCATGAAACTGGTTTTGACATATTCATACGCCTCCCGGTCCCTTTCGACTGTCTCTTCTGGTTCAATCTGCTTTTCCTGCCTCAATTTGCTGTAGTCAATGCACAGATTCCTGTGCTGGTTCTGTGCAAGCAATCACGATGGTTATAAGCAGCCCGGGCAGGTGAGCAGCGTGAGCAATTCATCTGCACAATGCAAACAGGTGAAAATACGAAACGGCTGGCCATTTCACCATTATGTAGGTAGTTTTGTAAGAGCATCACATTCCTGTTGCACAGTTTTTTTTTTTGCCTTGCACACATTTTGTTGTGCTGTGTGTTGTCAATAGACTCCGTGAAGAAGACCGATGCAGCGTAGTGCACAGTGTTGTGGATTCTGCACCATCGTGAAAGTGAAGAGAGCGCAACACACCATGCTCACTGATGCAATGGAAATTGTTTTCTGTTCACTGTCACTTGTCAACCCATTGTCGTCTGCTAAACAGAAATGACATCCTCAAACACCAGAGCCATGAAATGACGGCGACAACCCTGAAATGAGACTATTGTGTAGCTTACAGACAGTGCAACAGAGAAGAACTATTGATGTGAAGAGAGGCATTGAATACCCACCAAGATATCCACCATTTCGGCTAAACGTTTGCTCTTGTTGCCTTCACAGGACATTCTGGCATCCAATTCTGCAGCCACTTCGATTTCAGTGTTATGGCTCCGCTGTTGCATGGTGGCAGCGATGGATGCCGGCTTTGTGCTTGGCCCAGACTTGCTTTCTCCCCGTGATTGGTTCATCGAGACGTCCTGAAGTGCTGGTCGAGATAAGCCCACCCCCTTGGGGCTTTCGCAGTCAGCTTCTGCAGTGTGCAGTATTCAGGGCACATGTAACGTTCAACATACTCTACAGGACCGCAAGCACTGTGACGCTCACTGGCGGAATGCTCGGTGATAAGACCACTGGGCCAGTTCGTGCCCTAGCGATGTCATTCTTGCAGTTGCTGAAAGTTTCTGTGGTGCTTCAGCTTTGGGCCAGGGCATTTGACTTGCAGCACTGCAATTACGATTTCAGCAAGAAGCCTGCCACACTAATTGTATGCCATTTGTACGGCAGCATGGAAGGTGATGCATTGCACTGCAGGGTACAGTGTTCCAGTGCTACTGCTGTTCACTGCTCACGGCAGTTGTACAATCGCTCACCAGTAGCAATCATTAACCCATTCCAAGTTGATTGTTAATGGGTTATTCCAGAAGAGAGGGAGCAAGCCAGGGCATGGCGTCATGTCATGCTGCTCCACCCTGAGTACTTGTTCCAATTGTTGTGAACGATGCACAGTGCTGTGTGTTTTTACCCTGCCCTTAACATCTTCAACATCATGTTGCACAACATAGAACAGAGCCTTGCTATCATATTGACTAAGGGGAGAACCATTGTATGACTCTGTCCTGCTGCATTGAAACTTTTGCCTGGCCATATTGTCGATGTGAACAGGCATGGATGTCAAGCAGCAAGTGCAGGAGTATAGATCTGTCCAGTACTTTCGCATGCAATGACAAGCATATGCAACCTGACCATGCAACCTGACCATAAGAAGCACACAGATGCTTCTTGTCTTGTATCATTAGAACAAAAACAGGCAAATGCGATTTACTATGAATGCTGAGCTGCCAGTCCCCCAGCCCAACCCCCTGAGTGCCAAATTTATCTTATTCCTTTCGTGAGACCAAGCATTCCTTTGGATTCGAACAATTTTGGGGCTTTACATCACCTTGCACTCTCTTGTTAGGTGGCACGAGGCCCGCATATCTTGTGATAGAACGGAGGCAGGCGGACACTGAAAAGTGATGAAATATCTTGGAAACCAAAGAAAGAAAAAAGCACAGATGCATGTGTGCAGGTTTCATAGTTTGGATGACATCGCCACTGGACGACTCTAAATTGGCATTCCCAGCTCCTGAAGACGACTGTGATGCCCAAATGGTCTGGTTTAGGTGTTTAAGTTGCACTATTGTATAGGAGCTTACTAAATTCAAGCAAGCGACTTTTAAGCAAAAAGAACTATTCACAAAAAGACCACAGCACTAATTTGGACGCCCTATGGGACAATGATATGGCACTATTTCTGAAAGAATGTCCCAATGGCAACAAACATTATTCAATCAAGAAGTATCACTGTCAAGAAGTATTAGGTAATCAGAAGGTACACATATCAAAGCAAGGAGGCAGCCATCAGCTACCCGTTGTGTCTGACAAGGCAATGTCAATAATTTGCTCATTGGTCAAACTGCTCAGAAACAAATCATGGGGCATAGCAGCAACATCAAGCAATGGCACTAGCTTGGCAACTCAATAAGAAGAGTGGTGGATCAGCGCTTCAAAAAGTAGCACCAGAGAAGTAGAACCAGACTGGATAAGATTTTTGGAAGCAGCCAGCTCCCTGCAGGACATTATGCTGTGGCACGCCAGAGACTTTGGGCGAAGAAACCAACATCGCCGCACCTTCCACGGGCGTCAGCGTCTTTTGGCTGCGCCTCTTGGACCTGCCAGAAGCCGAGGAATGCGAAGAGCGCCTCTTCTTGGCCCTGGGTACGGCCGCCTCCCCATCCCCATTTTCCTCAACCGATCGACGCACAGCCCCGTCGTCCCTCCGGACCTCAACGGGGTCCCCTTCCTGCCCACGGCCTCCTGCAGCCAAAACAGCAACAGCGCGAATGCGTCCCACCCACAGGAATCCATGATTTAATCAAGCAGGCATAGCTCGGGAGGCTACTGGACGTGGGCCATTCGCAATGGTTGGGTCAAGAACAACAAAAGTCGAACCTTGTTCCATTGACGGCACTCTCTTCCTCAGTGACCTCCTGGGTGCCGACCCCTCGTCTGGCGACGGCCCCGTGCCTTTCGCCTCGCTGCCGGCCTTGGCCCCCTGCAGACAGACAGTTCAAAGCAGCCCTCAGCTCGGCGATCCACCAGCCCATCGCCAGAGCGAATGGGCCCCTGGAAGCTCCCGTCTTTGCACCAGAAAGCTCTGCTGCAAAGACAGGAGAGCATGCCCCTTGATGAGATCCCCCATCCTGAGGAAAAGCAGTCTCACATACACTCGCCTATCGGAGGTTGCCCTTTACATGATCTATTTTTCTCTCGGAGTGCAACAAGTCTTACCTCCGCGGAGGGAGGGTTATGAGCGAATTTGTTCCGCAACGACGGTGGTTATGCCGATGTCTTCCAGCGCAACGGGGTGGCACGCGAGAAAGATCCCCACGAGCAGGTGCGCGGTGTATCTGTGGCAAACAGAAGCGACGGCCGATCCCACGAGAGCCCGCAACTCCGAACCCCACATTCTGTTGGCTCGAAGCCCCAGCCTCCAAATGCGAGCCCAGCCATGCGGCATCCTCCCCCTCTGGCGGTGCAGCGACATCGCCTGCCCGCCTCAGATCGAATGAACGGCCGCGCCCAGATGCCCACAAACACACGTCGCTCTCCGGCGGACCAACCAGCTTTGCCCCCACGACACCGCGACCATCACCACCACTCCTCTTGTTGCACTACGGACTCCACATCACCATCTCACTGCATGGAAAGGCGTCTCAAGCACCCTTTCTTGCTCAGGAGGGGGTGCGGTTCGTATGGCCTGTTTCTCTTGCAGCGAATCATATACCCCCCACCCTGCCCTCCTCGCTCCCAGTCATTCCGTTCTACCGCCGACCCCACCCCCGGGCCGAATCCCCTCAGATCACCTCCCCCCACCGCCATCGCATCATCATCCACAGGATCTCAACAACCGTGCGCATCGATCGGCGCGCCGTGCACCCACCCTGCGCTTCCTCGCCGCCCGATCGCCCTCCTCAGGCACGATCGCCATCGCCGGCTCCGCGGTGGGCTTCACTCTATACCAGCCCGGGGATGGGCAAGTCGCGGAGCTGTAGTCCACCCTCTTGCGCGTGCGCAGCGTGGGGGCCGCCATGGCGCTCGCGCTGCGCTTGGCTCCCAGCGTCTGGGCGTGAGCTTGGCGGGCTGGTGCCCCGTAATTTCTGGCAAGCGTGCCTTCCCGCCAATTCCGTGCTGGGTACAGTGCGTTTTTTGAATTCTGAGCGCAACAGCCTGACATTTGTGCTACAGTAGGGGACCCTGCTTTGCGCCCCCCCCAACAACGCCACGGCCCCCAGTAGCGCCCCGTTTTTTGGCTTGTCACCATATCTGCAGTACTTTATGCAGTTTTGTTGTGCAGTGGGACCTCAAACTTGTACCCGGGGGTGGGGGGGGCGGTTTAGCGAACCTCTGAACGGCTTGTCACTGTTCCCATAGTACTTTATTTCACTGCGACAGAGCCCAGCGCCCGTGACTTCGGCGCGGCGACTACTGTATAAGTTGTTCGATTACAGTCCATTCTGCTCAAGTAAATGGCCACCACTGTAATCGAGAGAAAACCGTAGAGAAAGGAAAGGTCAATGTGCTCAGCAGAAATCACATTGAACGGCATGACATACGGTTACATTTAGCGGTCATGCAGTTGCTGAATGATCAAGGCAAACGTACGCACGCTTAGCTTCTCTCCAGTGCACACGAATTGATGCATTTACAGCTGAGATGTCCTCCATCTCGCTGTTTTGCAATGCCGCTCATCAGAACCGTCCAGAATGAGCA